TGCTGCGTTGTCAGAACGACCATTTTTGAAAAAATTGACGAAAAAAAATTGTTTTTTCAAGCTAGAGTTTGGTGTTGGCATGCGAATTGGTATTGGTAATTACCACATTTTTTGTATGGGGGCATTTTGGAAAACTTCGTGTAAGGATTTTGTGAGATTCATGGGTGGAACTATGATTATGCTTCGCAGTGTATACCCCTCCTTCCAAGTTTTGATAAAAATCCAAAATTGCAGTGCTAAATTCCCAGCATTAAAAATGGTGTTCGAAGATGTATGTCACAAGAAACTTTCTCTCGTCGCTAGTGTGTCATAAGATGTCATGTCATGACCTGTCCTAAGGCTGCGCACATACTTTGCTGCAGCGTCCACTAGCGTTTCGAGCGTCCGCAGCGTCAGCGACTAGGAAAGTATAGATATCGATCTAGCGTCTGCCAGCGTCCACCAGCGTCTGCCAGCGTTTCGAGGGCTAGGGAAGCATAGGTGTTGATCCACGTCTGCCAGCATCTAAATACCAGTCAATAGCGTTCACCAGCGACCAGGAGTGGGAAGTATGGGGAAATAGGAGGGTCGCATACAGCTGGATTAGGCGTAGTGTGTGCAACCGCACCGTACAACTACACTAAACCGTACATTAAATTGCATCATTTTGTGCTGTGCAGCTGTAGGTGGGTTGCATTTCACGACTGTAATCCAGCTATTTGCTACCCTCCTACTTCCCCATGTTTTCCACCCCTAGAAGCTGCCGCAAAATATGAACGCAGTCTTATAGCCAGGGCACAACATGAAGTTATAGAGAGATTGTTACTTACCTCGAAGTTTCTCTTCTGGTACGACTCTCTTCCTGTTTACAGCCCCAAAAATACTAGTTTTATCGACCGCAGTCAAGCAAGGGGCCCCTGTCGGAGCGGATTCTTACGGCGCCGGTCGCGTGGCCTCCATACAGGTCTATGGGTTCTATTTCTCAGCATCTTTTCGATTATGAACTGTGGTTACTCAAGTGAGACATGTAAACGAAATTTACCCATGGGAAAGGTTGACTAGCAAAACTCACAGCCAAAACCAAATGGAAGCGGCTAGCGCATAAACCATCAGACCACACCAAGATCCACGCTTCGCCGGAAAGAATTGACTCTAAACTCAGGTTGAACATAAACATCCGCACGCTTGAACAAAGTTCATAATGAATTTGCATAGAACATTCACCTACTACTTCGCTAAATGGCTTCTGGATTCATGGTACTCTGGAACCATTAGAATCATGGAGCCAGTCCATCATACGCCCAAGACGAGACGAGCTCCTCAAGGCCGTCTAGAGTATTCCCAGACGTACAATTCACGGAATTAACCGACAAAGTATGAGAAATTAATCCTGAAAATCGAAGGTGACATAGGTCAATGTATAGAAATGAAATCGCATGCAACTCAGAGTCTTCTCAGAAAGCTCCAGCATCTCCCCCTAAAGTTCCATGTGAAATTAAGGCCCCGAATGATTTTGGCTTTGTCTAGCTAAAATGTACGCACGAAAATTGAACACAGAAGGATAAAGGTAACTGAATACAAGAAGCTGGAGGTCTCCGTTGATTGATCCCCTGGGATGCGCCACGCATTCCATGGAGATGTGGTCTGTGCCATAACTTGCGGGGCCGATGTACGTGTTAGTGTTTCTCGTCCTCCCAATGAATTTGGCAACACATCCCCTCGAGAAATGCGACTCTTGGCTAACTCGCTGAAGAACCGATCCCGTACCGTAGTTGATCCCCTGGTCGGAAGCATGGTAAGCGGGCCATCAGCACTACATAACCAATGGACAGAATGCCTGCGTTTTTCCATGAAGCGAACAGTGCCATCAGTTTTTCAAGCATTAGATCCATGAAAATATCCATTTTTCTCATATGCAACTCGGGGTTGCCGCCCTTCAACCTTCCGACCAGTAGCACGAGCGCGGTGTAAATATGTTCGATGACGGGAAAGGGGTTCTTACGTGACGTCGAACGAAGACGACTGAAAGTGAAATAAGCGCCAGCTGTTCCATCCCATGATTTACATACTAAGACCTTCTCACTATCTGACATTAAAATCGCCAACTGTTCACTTTGTAGCCAGAATGCCTGAGGAAACATCCTGCAAACTTGCTTAGGCACTAAAAAATTGATAAAAAAAGGAGTAATGTTGGTAATCTTCGCATGACGAGCATGGATTGTAGGGCAAAAATCGAACATGACCCCCAGACGGGCATTGTTTCGCTGACGATCTCGCAGATGTTCAACGACGACGTCGGCGAGTACACTTGTCGTGCCAGTAACATCCATGGAGAGGCGACATCCGCTGCTCAGGTAGAGAACTGAAACCAATTAATAACTCCAGAGCTGAGCGCTAAATGTTTCAGTTGCTTATCCGCGAACAATACGAACGATGGTTTGCTGAGGAGCAGAGCCGACTCACTCGCGACCGACGACAAGCACAGGTATGTGACTCGGAAGGGGCATTTCCTCCCTGGTTTGGAGCACGAACAGCCGAGCACGACGTGCGCGATTATTCGAGAGAGATTGTGGACCGCTGCCACCGTAATCCGGGCCATTGAAGGGCCCAGTCCTCTTTAGTGTTAGGGCGTAATCACAGTACTCGCCGAGCAATCCCAGCGGATAAGCTCGTGTGATGAAATTTACACACGCGGTCAGTGCCGGAGGCTAACATGCCAAATAAAGGTGCCTCAAACTTGGGGAATCAAAGTGAGCGCGCGGATTAGGGCAGCAACGATTCCTTGGACTACAAAATCTTTTCTGTCGAGATTACTAACCCAGCCGTAATCTTCGACACTATTCCTTCCTTTAAAAGAAGGACTATTAATTGCTCGAGACATTCTCACCTACAGGCGTCAAACTCACCGAGTGTTTGTTGAGAGGGTACAGACGAGGTACTGTTCGGCCCTGGCCATGGGATTGTATGTCATATGGCGCTATTGCATTGTCGTGTCATGAGCGACGCGCTTTACTGGTAAAATTAGTCGTCCGATTCTCTAAACAATTAGATTCAGTGAACTCATCATTAAGGGAAGTTCTCATTGAGCCGCAGGAGCACTGCAGCTCCATGGGTTTTCCTGTGGATCTTTGAGGGTTTCCATAGAAGATGTGCTCGTAAAGTAGTACGGGGGCATTCAAAAAGGCTTGTTGATCACATTGTGAACTTTTTCGCCTGGCATGAAGGGGTGCGCTCCATATCCCGAAGGTGGGGTGGGCGTGGCGGCGTGCTTCGTTCGAATTTAGGAGCAGATGCACTCTTCGTGAGGTATTGTCAATTTGGAACATCTCTGGTCATGTTGTTGTCTAGTACGAAACAGGAAGACATCTCAATATGGCAGCATTTCACCAAAAGTGCAGCTACCGTCACGTTCAGACAAAGCTCTTAGACGCGCCCACCACATTTGGGAGTATGGAGTATGAGTGGGCCCTCTAAACATGTACATTGGACGGCGCTCTTAATTCAGATATCTTCAGAACCCGTCAAACCGTCGTGCCTGGTATCCCTGAACACTTGACTTTCAACCTGACTTGCAAGGTTGAGCCAGGAAAAATGAAGCATGGGCAACAGCGAAGGTGTCCGAAAAGCCAGACGCTTGATGTCTCCCATCAGAGCCACAGTCTCTACGATCCTGCACGCAAATGGCATAGTTTGT